ATATATATATATATATATATATATATTTCTAATGATTTTGTTCTAATATGTGTATAATATATATGAATTACATTTGAATTCTAATAATTAAAATATTAAAAAATTGAAATCTTTAATATCTTTAAAATTATTTAATATTGATTAAATTTTATCGAAAATATTTATTCACGATCATTGTAATCCAATGCTTTACACAGCACTTGAATAAGCAAGTACTTTAGATTGAAGTTAAAAATGGCGACCTACACTTGCCGCTTCATTCTTGGATGCGATTAAACAGAAGATTTATTGAAACATGAGGAAAATATCCATTACTAGGTGACAACAATTGCGTGGCCAATTTTTAAAGGTGATACTAGTAAATGTTTTTCTTTAAAGTTTTACAAAAGAAATTTTCAGTGTTTTTTAATTCAATTTATAGCTTTATATATATTTTTGTTGCAACAATATAATTGTGTTGCATGCAATGTTTATTAGTTTTCCATTAGTTTTTAATTTAGTTATAATCATTATATTTAATTTAAAAGTTTGATTTTTTTAATATCGATAATATTAGTTCAATTTTTTTTATATACATTTTCTTATACATATATTAAAAATACTTATTATATTACATATTGGATAATCATGATAAAAAAAATTCACAAAGAATATAAATAGTATAGGTATGAATTGATTTTTAAGTTATAAAATTTTTATACGTTATAATATCTAGGTAAAATAATTGCACGCCATCTATGTTTTGTTCATTCAATCAAAATCTTAAATTTCGTTTACAGATGATTGGCCGACGCTGTGCTCTCATCGCTTTGGGCGGTCTTTTGATTCTTGTCCTTAGCGTCAATTTATATTTTATTCGAATGATCGTTGAGAGCTCGTCGCAAAAAACTTCTAAAGGCATGCCTATTTCACAATTGAAACCAGAACAAGAACAATTAATATTTCAAGCAGAACAAAATTTACAAGCTTCACGAAAATCGGTTGCAAAAGATATGATAAAAAAAATTAAAGAAGAAATACAAATATTACCATCAAGATATTTTAAACAAAATGCTAGCTATACAGTAGTAATGGAAAGATTGTTAACTGAATTAAAAATAATGCCTAACGTTCAAAAAAATATATGGAGTATTCCTAATAGTAATGTTAGCATTATACCAAAATATTTAAATAATGTAAAGCGATGTCTTTTCTAAATTTTTCCAAATATTAATATTTTTAGTGGCCTGATGCACATCAGTTAATACCACCAGTTGCACCCGAATTAGGAACAATTCTGGATATTTTGCGTAAATCAAAAGTGATACGCGCGGATAACGCACCACTTGGTACGCAATTGAAATTGATGTTAACTTTGGAACATGGGACGAAAGCCATGTTTAAGCCTCAGTGGTATTCTAGGGACGCTATTATTCGAGGACCTGTTTATCACGGAAAAGATCGACATAATGCCGAAGTAGTAGCATTCCATTTATCTTCCTTATTGGCCTTACGAAGAGTACCGCTTACAGTTATTAGAAAATGTATATATTTTGTTATAAATATAATAATATAATTTATAACAAAAATTCATATATATTAAGTAAATGAATTTGAAAAGAATTTATAATTTTTAAGATAGTATTTGATAAATAAAAAAAATTCTAATAAATATAAATTGAAAAAATTAATATTTTCAAAATTATAAAAAAAAATTTTTTATTTCATTATTCATTAAAGTTTTAAAAACAATTTTCTGATGAAGATAATAATAATATATAATAAATATATATAAAAATTAAAAGAGAATATTTCTGAAATCTGAAATTTCTGAAATAGAAAAATTGTTGTAATCAAGAAAAGAAA